GGAAAAGTAACAGCCATAGACACCCGCAAAATATTATAATATGATGTTATTATAAAAACCTAAATATTTTAAAAATATTAATTCTTTATTTTACTGTATAACTATAAAATGTGAAATTATTTTAAATATTATATTAAATACGAATGTTGTTTTACTTTTGATGCAGTTATATAGTTTCCGAGTATTACATATAAAAGAACACTCAAGAATAAAGCGAGTCTTGTGTTGAACATAGAAAATGACAATAATGTAGCTTTGATATATGCCGTTTTAGTAATTTGGTCAATTTCTTTTCTGTATTTCATAATTCATTTTTAATTCAAGTATTTTAGGTGATTAAATGAATATGAATATATGGATATTGTTAAAAAATCTTACTTTCTGGCAAATTCAGTTAGTTTGGTAAAAAAATATTCCCAGGTATACATTTTAATTACTTTTATGCCAGAAATTATTTCATTCATCAAATTAACTCTTGCATCTGTTCTATTGGCTGTTTCAAGTCGACACTTTGATACACTCGAACCCAACCAGGCTTAAAGATCATATATAAAAATAATATATCATGTATAGTTGTATATTATTGAATAGTAATTTCTTTTAATACCTTGCAACGGTATAAAAATAATAAATGTGGCTACTCCAAGAATTGATGCCGCGCCTATTTCTTTCCATAAGAAGTACGTTACTATTATGGTTTCTAAAGGTCCAATGAATACATAAGCTATGTATACAATTGTTAAATCAAATCGAATCACGTCATTTGACAACAAGTTAACTATTCGACCTGCGGTCGTTTCTAAAGAATTTGTTTTCAGCCGTAATGCCTATAAAGTATAAACAGTATATAATATAATATACCATATTCGTATTTATTACATTAAATGTTAATAAATTTTAAATAATTAAATTTAAAAATTGTAAATCAACTCATGATATTGCAATGTCATTATAAATTATTTACAACTTTACAAGTATCTTAACTCTTAAGTACTAAATGTTGTTATTGATACGTTATATTCATGTACCTAGTAATTGTATTATTTACGTACTTTATTATAAATAAGATCACACGTTGCTACTCGCATTTTCATTGCTAAATGTGAACTCATCATATTGTAGCTGTTTGAGCTGAACGTTTTTAACGAAGAAGTTATTATTAGACCAACAGCATAATATACAACCATATCAAATTGGTGTTTTGTGTTTTTTGATTCGAAATGCGATATAATTTTCCCCACAAAAATCGTTTGGATAATACTGAACAAACAAAAGAGTAATCACGAATCAGTAATTTAATATTAGTAAATTATCGTTTAATAATACAGATTAACTGATATTATTTTAAAATTTTATTAATAGTTATTTTCTTGAGCAGTTTCCTAATCTAAACATGGCTAGAAATAGGTTTATAATTTAAAAAAAAATGTCTATCACTGTTTTTAAAGACTGGAGTAACAGAACGTATTTTTCAAAGTAATAGGAATAATACACCTTCTCTAGAGTTTTAGGAAATAATAGATATATTGGGTAGGATATAGAGTTGGCATAGTAAGCATAGTATATGGACGTTTTTAAAGAACGTAATCATATTAGATCTTGTAAAATTTTACAGTTAGATATCAAAAAATGTTTGTTAATTGTATTAGAGTTGGAATTTAGGAGAGATTTTTGATAAACTGTGAATTTTATACATCGACGAAAAATATTTTGAAAAAAATTTATGAATATATCCAAAATAAATCTGGCTGTTTCCTCATATAATTATATTATAATTAATAATATATAAATTTATTAATATATACACCTAAAACCTACTCACCTAAATATCACGTCAGTTATTGCTAAATAAGTTCCGCAAAGAATTAATTTAAATCCAAACATTTGAAATAGTGCTTTCAAAAAACTAGGCTTTATATTTTTATTCATTGAATTTTTTAGTTCATTACTCCATAATCTGTAAAACAACAAAAGCAATCATTAAAATATTTATGTTTTTTTTTAAGTTATAAACTGCTAACCCTTTTAATTTGGATCCCAGTAAAGCAGACGAATCTTCGTCAAGAATTGTATACAAATCAACTACTTCGAGTTCTTTTTTCAATCCTTTTTTTATAAGCCCTAAGATCCAACTATAAAATAAACACACAATAAATAGTATGTTGGTATTAAAATGGTGATTAAAATGTTTCACTGTTATCTTAATTTTGATACAATTATTATTTTGTTAGACTCTGAGCTAATAAAATGATTTATTGATTTAAGTAATATTTTTTGTGTACGTGTACATGTATATACAATAGAAAATAATTTTTTTAATTTGAGTTTAGTTCTTGACTAGCTGAACCCGTGCACTTCGTAGCCCGTTAAAAATTCTCTTTTATGGTCCATAGTTCATATTGTGTGTTAAATTAATTTCATCTGATGATGCTATCAGTATATTTTTATACATAATAGCCGACCCGTCACAGCTTCGCCCGTGATTGGTTGTTTATTTTGCCTTCGGACCATGATATGTAGAATTTTTTATTCA